AATAACTCAATGTTACAGTAGTTATGAATTATTACTTACAAAATATCCCTACATTCAAGTTTGTCTCTTTCGTCCAAGCATAGCTCATTAATTTTTACAATTGAATGTTAATATTTTTCATTGATATGTGCTCTCTCATCGTGTATTATCCCTCCATGTTGCAGAGACCATCATTGATACTGTTATGACTAAGGAAAGGATTTTAAGGTGCGGCACCTTTTCAAAAATACAGCTGTTTTCATACAGATTGTTTAATATACGTATTGGGGGAATGAACTGAAGCGGAATAAACTATTTGTTGGGGGGTGGGGATGTAGTTTATCTCTTCTTGAACAGCTTTTTAAAATATCAATTAATCAGGAGTCAGCAATATTAAATATTAAAATGTATTTTACGTAAACCACCAGTAATTTATATCCCAGCAACAATGGTGAATGTGCAGTTGTAAAGCCAAATTTAAATTCCAACAGTATTGCTGCAACAGTTTACCCTTTCCAGCTAGATTTAAAGTACTGTTCAGACAGGCAAATCAGGACATTTAAATGGGTATGCAGAAATCCACTTGTCTGTGACCTGAGGAAAATGTTTACCCTTGGCATCGTATCGCCGTGAATACTAAAAGAGCACTGGCAGCGCTTGTGGATTTAAATGGGAAAGGAGAGACGGGTCAGGGGAAGATGCCTGTGCCCGCGAGAGCACTCAGGTTTCCACATGGAAAAGTGCTCATTTGGGCGCAGTTTGGCGCTCCTGCGAAGTACGTTCTACTATGCGATGCGCGGGAGAATTAAGTTCAGTCAGTACTAGCAATTGTTCATCAGTTTTTTATCTACTACAGTATTGGACACAGTACTATGAATCACCTCTTATGGACTCTATAAGAAGAAAAGTTTAGTGGAAAATGATACGTATATTCTTGAACCTGAATTCAGATAACTTGTTTAACCTTAATATAGTTTCAGCTGCATCTTTTTGCACTCTTTAAAAAAAAAAATAATTCAGAACTCTCCCTTTTTTTTCGATCGTAATTTGCACCTCAAAATCCTTTCCGTAGTTATGACAGAAACGAAGTTGAGTTTCGTAGAAATACTAGGTGGGAAATAATTATGGTAACATGCTGGATGAAGTGAATAGTAAAGATGTGATAAATTGAAAATCTGTAAGATCTAACGATTAATGACGTATATCTTCCATGAGTTTTTTATATATAAAATTAGTTGAATGCAGTCTTAATTTTTAATTTATGGATTTTGAAACAGCAGAGCGGACTGAACAGCGTGCGGGGCATACTCGTGACAGGACGATGGCTGGAGGGAGGGGGAAGTACGGGGCGGGTTGTAGTGTAACACGAAGTGGGGTGGGTCGAGACTGAGAGGAGAGAAGTTTGGTTGACGTGTCGAGGATGTTAATAAAATTAATTTCGTTTTTCTTTATATATATATATATATATATATATATATATATATATATATATATATATATATATATATATATATAAAATTCATTCCTCGAAGATAAAATGAAATGTCATCATTGGGGTCGTGATTGATATTTGGTGTAAGCGAATAAAATTGTGCTTATCATTTAAACTGAATGTGTGATTGTAGATTGTTTAATCTTTAAGAGAAGATCTGTACAGACAGTAGTATATTTTTCCTATAAAGTTTGCTAATTCCTCAATATTGTAATCTTCTTGGTAATATTCCGTCTAGTATTCTCTTTAAAATTTTCTCACTCCAGCGCGTGTCGGGGCGTGTGATGAGAGTGCACGGCGTCGAGGGCCTAGCCTCTTGCGGTCCTTCAACTCCCCTTTCGTGCTGCCTTCCGCTCATTTTCCTCGTTGTGTTTTCTTGCTGACGCGGTCGGCGCCCGCTACTTAATTGAGCTCGGCTCGGCGTCGCTCTTCTGCATTGACGGAGGTCTTGCGAGGTAGGCTGTGTTAATGGCCCAATGCGCGTTTGAGAGCCTGTTCGTGGACAGCGGGGACCGGTTCTGGAACCCGCACCAGCGCGGAGACACATCGCGTCTGCTAAGGCCGAGGACGTTCTCTAGGAATTGCGTCTGTTGAATAATGTAAGCAATCGCTTACCTTGAATCAGCAATGTATTGCATAGTACGTGTTTGATAATTTCTTTTAACATTTTATGAGCAGTACATAGTAGTTTTACGGATGTTTCGCGGAGGAAACCCATCCTTGGTTGTTAGTTTTTTGTTATTTAAGGTCGCACCAACATCTAGGTCATTAACGACCACCATCCTTTTTTTGCCAGTCTTTTTTTGAGTTTATGATAAAATTTCTGTTAGTTGATTATATCGACTTTTCATTAATATTCACAATTACGACTATTCATTAATGTTCGTATGATGGTGTGGAGTACATTTTCTTGGTAAATCTCTTCTGCGATGTCAGTGGAGTGTAATGGAATCGACACTCGTGACACGTGTGTACTTTGTAATTCTTCACTTGTTTAGATACTTGCGGGGGAAGGGTGTTGACACTAGTAAACTCTTTTGTCTGCATCTGTCTAAAAACCTGTTCATTAGAACTGCGTAGTTTGCTCAAGGAAAAATATTCATTGCTTGCTTTCAAATACACGCTATTGTATATTTTTTTGACAACATTAATCTGCTCATGGGGAAACTGCAAGCCGGATCACTCTACAAAATTATTAGCACGTGCAAGTATTTTGTTCCCAACAGCCGTTACGAATTATATTCACTAAATCTGCTTGTTTAGAATGTCTTGTTATTGTAATGAACATTACTATATTCCGTTGAATTTTACGGTATGTTCGGCAGATCGACTTTATTGATTATCTTTAAAATGAATCTAGGAAATCTGAATATATTAATTTTTTGAAGTGATATCAGCGCTATTCAACACCTGATGAAGAAAACATAAGCTGAGCCTGATCTATTTCCCCCAATTTTTGATTCCTACCTCGAGTGTTTGAACGGCATGTATCTTTCTTTATCTTCCGTTTGTAATACCTTTTATCGGTTACATAGGTCTCTAACCCCTGTTAACATGCAACCGTACGGGTTTGTTAATTGCCCGTGTACCTATCTGTATGTTAAGAAATTGAACATCCTTAGCAGCGTAAATAAACATCCATTGATTCATCGCAACAAATATTTGTTAATAGAAAATAACGGACGTTTTGTACCGGCCAGATCCAAACAATTCAGAGTAAAAGTAACTCGTTGGTTCTGAGGATAATTATTGTTAATTGTAATTGTAATATTAATAGAGCAGTTAAAAATGTGTATTAGGTAAATTAACCTCATTTTCCTGGCATTGCACCAAATGAATCTCTACTCCGGTAATCATATTTGCTGACGATCTGAAGGTATCGCTAGTGAAAGTCGACGCGCCAACTTCCTCATCGAACGTAATTTCTTTAAGTATCTATTGGTTCAGGAGAATTATTTGAATCTTCTCAAGGTACACAATATCGTTTAAGTAGATATATCGGAAGCAACACACCATATCACAGTAATGTTCCGCAGCAACAGAATTCATTTGTTTATTATCGCAGTAATGTCGTAAATTTTTGCATAAATCATGAGATTTTATGGTGACTGATAAAATACTGAACATACCACGAAGTATTGCAATATTCTTACTCCATTGTCTAAATTAAAAATCTCGACCCCGTTACGCTCCGCTTCGATTTTTAACTGTGGCATCAGCAGTAATAACACTCATAAAATTTCTAGGTATGTGAATAGCTATTAAATGCATGGGGTTTGGGAACAAGAAAACGCATTTTGGGTCGAGGCGGACACGCCACAGGGATGATGAGTGATGGCAGCAATGTCCTTTGTTTCTGCGGCGGCGGCGGGGGTGGTGGTGGTGGTGGTGGTAATGGTAATGACGTGGGCGGCGACGGCAATGGCGCTGCGTGCGGCCAGGAGGCGCGCTGCGACGTGACGATGCTGCGAGCGGCGCGCGGGGTGCCGACGGTGACGTCGACGCGGCGCGTGCAGCTGCTGTGGGCGCTGGCGCTGCTGGCGACGCACGCCATGGAGGCGGCGGTGCAGCTGCTGCGCCCCGACCTGGCAGCCGATCGCCCGCAGGACCTCGCCACCTTGAACCGCGACCTGCGACCGCGCTACGACTTCGTGGTGGTGGGCGGCGGCTCCGCGGGCGCCACCCTCGCCGGTCGCCTCGCTGAGGTAGCTAATTAAGGTCGCCAAGCGCTTGCTCTTCGGAAGCTAATAGCCTCAGTGTTCCTCTTAGCAACAATAATTAGATTTGTGCTCAATCGACTGGAACATTCCCACTTCACCCTCTCCCTTGCCATAACAGTGTTGGTACTTTTGGCTGATCTGTAATATTTCCAACATTAGTAAAAATGCTATCTGCCTCACTTCAGCCAACACGGTCATGAAGTGCATGAGAGAAAGCGATAGAAAATATGAAATCCACCATATAGCTTAGAATTACCTCCCGTTCTGGGACCCGTAGGGAGCGTAGGGACCGATTCTGTGCTTAGTTTCCCTTCCGTGACGAATGAATTAATCTTAAGAGTATGGTTAGGAATATGAAAAGTTAATGATGAAATAAATTAAGCCTAGAATCGTGGCTTATCAGAATTCTCTCTTGAGAAATTAGTTTCCGCCTTTTTAGCTGTTAGTTGGCTAATTTTACCCAGAGCTTTGCAAGTGTTTGAATATTCTCTAAATTTCAAAACTATGAAATTAGCTTTTTCAGAAAGGCTGGAAGTCACAACTGGCAATAAAAAAATAATTAAGATGGTCTGATTCTCGCTCTATTAAAACGTTAAGCATATTGCGTGTCTTGGCAAGTTTCCTGATTTGATTTGGTGATGTCTCTCTCAACCAATACGGAACTGATTTGTGCAACATTCGAACATTATTGTTCCCTCTTTTATCCTTTCCTCGCCTTCCAGTTTCAGCTATTTTGTGGCAAGGTGCTTGTGACTTGCCTCCTCCGTCCTCTTTCCTCGCATGCCAGGCGCGTCCTTGTTAGCGTCTGAATGGTGAAGGTGGGGCGCTGGTCGGTGCTGCTGCTGGAGGCGGGCGGCGCGCAGCCCGTGCTGACGGACATCCCTGGCGCCGCGCCCACCGTGCGCAACGTGGCCACCGAGTGGCGGCTGCGCGCCGAGCACGACGCGCGCTTCTGCCGGGCCATGCACGACCAGCGCTGCGCCGTCGTGGCCGGGCGCGTGCTGGGCGGCACCTCCACCATCAACGGCATGGTGTACGTGCGCGGCAACCGGCGTGACTACGACCACTGGCGCGACTTAGGCAACCCGGGCTGGGGCTGGGAAGACGTGCTTCCGTACTTCAAGAAGTCGGAGGACATGCGCGTGAAAAAGTACCGCGGCGACAAGCGCCATCACGCCACCGGCGGTCACCTCTCCATCGAGGAGTACCGCTTCGCCTCGCCGCTCGTCGACCACCTGCTAAAGGCCGTTCAGCAACTGGGCTTCGACATCTCCGACCACAACGACGAGGACCAGCGTGGCTTCGTCAGGTTCTACGGCACGGTGCGCGACGGCCTGCGCTGCAACAGCGCGAAGGCCTTCTTGCAGCCCGTCTGGCGCCGCCACAACCTGGACATCGCGCTGCACTCTCGCGCCGACCGCGTGCTCATCGACCCGGATACTAAGCGTGCGTACGGCGTGGAGTTCACCCGTGACTACAAGACGCACACTGCGCTCGCCGACAAGGAGGTCATCGTGTCCGCGGGCACGTTCCACTCACCGCAGCTACTCATGCTGTCGGGTGTTGGTCCTCGTGAACATTTAGAAGAAGTGGGCGTGTCTCCCGTGGTGGCGGACTTGAAGGTCGGGTACAATCTGGAAGACCACATTGCCTTAGGAGGGAACATTTTCCTTTTGAATCGCGGCACCAGCCTCGTTCTCCCTCGATACTTAAATCCCGTGGATTTGATCAACTTTCTTATAAACACGCAAGGCCCCGCCATGACCGGCGGCATCGCGGAAGTGTTCGGCTTCTTTTCCACCAACCATACCAGCGATCCCGAGTGGCCCGACGTGGCCGTGTACTTCGAATCCGTCACGGACAACAACGACGGCGGGGTGTACCTCAAGGACCTGAGCGGCATCTCGGACGATTTCTTCAGCGCGGTGTTCGAGCCGGTGCTGTACCAGGACGCGTTCGCCGCGCTGGGCACGCTGTTGCGACCGCACAGCCGCGGGCGCGTGCAGCTGCGTAGCGCCGACCCGCGCGCGCCGCCGCGCATCCACCTCAACTACCTGGCGGACGAGCGCGACGTGCGCGCGCTGGTGGAGGCCGCTAAGTTTGCGCGGCGCGTCGCCGACACGCCGGCCTTTCAGCGGCTGGGCGCCCGCCCCAACCCGCGCCCGTTCCCGGCCTGCGCGAACGCCACCGGCGACGAGGACGCGTACCTCGAGTGTGCGCTGCGCGAGTACACCATGAGCTTGTGGCACTATGGCGGCACCTGCAAGATGGGGCCAGCTTCCGACCCCGACGCCGTGGTAGACGCGCGCCTGCGCGTGCACGGGCTGCAGGGGCTGCGGGTGGCCGATGTGTCTATCACGCCCGTCGTCCCCTCGGGGAACACCAACGCGCCGGCCATTATGATCGGGGAGAAGGCGGCTGATATGATTAAGGAAGACTGGGGGCTGGAGACAAGATGAGATTAGGGCGGCTTTCTATTTATCGGGATTCGTTTGTATTTATTTTCTTTTGGTCCAGTCGACATTCAGTTGTATAGACGGTATCGATGCCTCTTCGTCGAGTTCACATATTCGTCTAGTATGTCCCCGATGTGTGTCTCGCGAATTAAATGATTTACAGTGAAGAGTTCACGTCAGTATTTTGTTATTTTTACATCTTATTTCACATTTGTTAATTATTCAATTGTTTGGTATGCATTTTGAAACGTGGGTTTGCAATTTTGTACTGAATGCACAAGATTTGTTTCAAATGTACCAACGGTGACAAACTTTTTTTTTCAGATTTCTGTCTCGAATACAAATGTTACGAATGTTAATATAAGAAAATAAGAAGTTGTCACCTGTTATTTTCCTACTTTTTTGTAACTAATTTGTAATGAAGGGTTATTGTTGAGATCCTTTCAGAGAAAGGTCTGTTTTCTTGCTGCCATGTAGCAGATGTCACTAGCATTGTTACGTACTTTTTCATAACTTTCATGTAGTATTCATGCATAAATATAATAGTCCTTTTCATAACTTTTTTATTTAGGGTTACGATATACATTTTCTGTCCTTTCTACAGACCCTTCCGTGTCCACAAAGTATTTTTATGATGTATGAAAGTACGAAATAAACATAAAGAGTGTTTCAAGTACACTTAACACAATTTTGTTACTAGGATATTCATGGATTTCTATTTTGTACAAGTCCCCATCATCTGTAATAGTTGATGTGTATCTTAAACACAAAACAAATTATTTTACAGGAGTCAATTCATTTATAAAGTTATATTTAATTGTGTATTTTATGGCACAGTTTTGCTTTTGTTTTAACTTTGAAATCCTCAGGAGATTTTTCCGAGGAATATAGGTAAGTATAATGCTCATGAGTTATAAACATGAGAGAAAATAGATTTGCCTTGTATTGAATTCTATAAAACGGTTTAAAAACTGTTTCCTTCAATCTTTTTGTTCACTACTCATAGTAGGGCGTTCGAGAAGAGGCGTGTATTTTGCGAAGTGTGTCCCTTCCGGGTTGAAGCAACCTATGACCTCTCGGCATTCGACATTTTGGTGTCTCAGATGCGAAGGAGCGGTGTCTCAGTGTCAGGAGAGAGTTGTGATCTTCTGCCCCTGCCAAAAAATCTCCTATCCTCCATTGGCTATACTGTGCAGGTTTTTATATAATACCGATTATGTTAAATAGCGTTGCGTCGCAGGCGTTGCGCCTTTAACGGCACCATCTGCTAGGGAAGGCATCAAGAGTCTGGAACTCTGCTTAATTTACCGATAAAAAATAATGAATAATTAGAAGGTCAGAAATACATAGCGGTTCATCTTTAGCTTTCATGTCTCATCATGCGGAAAAACACTAAGGCTGTACTTGATTAATCTGTCTTACGGTATAGGGTTTCAACCCCAATTCCTAATACAGGTAAGTTGCCGGTGCAACTGTCTGTGCCATTCAAGTGATTCTTTTTGTCCTTCGACATCATTCAGAATACTTTTTGTGCTCTGAATTACGGTATACGAGCCCCTAATCTTGATGTTGTGAATTGTGCTTCACTGCGCGCCCACTCTTTCGAACGATAGCATTCCAGGCGCCTGGGGCAACGGGATAATGACATAGCGCGCCGGCGCTCTCGCCTCTGGCAGCCCCGTGAGCCATGCGATTTGCCCTTCCCCGCGATGGCACCCACCCGCCTTGGCCTCCATCTGCGCGCGAGGTCGCGGCCGCCCACACGCCTGGACCCCCCCCGCCTCCCGCCCACGGCTGCGGCTGGGAGACACGGCATACGCACGCATAGCCAGCTGAGATCTCCACCAGCACTTCAGCTCAGCGTACCCATGCGTGCCCGGCAGGAACAAGTCGCCCCTCCACAATTTCCCCAATACAATTTCAAAGAAATATGTTATCTGCTAGTTCATTATTTTTATTAATTCGTAATATTATCGATTTAAAAGTATATTTTCCTTAAATGAGGGAAAATGATTTGCTTCGTAATAAATATTTGAGTCGCTTTGTATTGAACGATCAAAGTCTTTGAGATTATATAATTGCTTGTATGAGTCTTCTCTTTTTATCTTATTTAAATGTACGTCTACAAATAGAATACATTATAATTAATCCAGTCTTTTGGGATTGTATACAACTTATTTTAGCCTTTTTGAAAAGCCAATTTCGTAAATTATAGATTTTTATAATTTGTTCTCATTAGTTTAACATAAAGTTGAACAATTAGTGCATTAAATCACATTAACATTTAAATCACTTACTTCAATGTTTTTACTTTTGAAATTGAGGAAAGTTATAAAAAAACACAATTGAAGAACATTTTTTCAACTTAAGTATACTCTTGAAAATTAGTTCTCCAAAAAAAAAAAAAAAGAAATCACTTTCTGTAAGATGCACTTTTGCAATGTACAATGGTATACAATCCCAAAATATCTGATGTGAAGGATTTCTATTGTCTTTTTTCGTACATTTGAAGTGAGAAGAGTATCTCTATTTAACATGAAGTCATTAATAGTTCATACTACACTCTTTTAGGCCTACAAGGTAATTTTCAAGGTAAATAATTTCCATTTAGCCCATTTGGACATATAACTAATTTTTAGGTCCTGTAGGTTTGTAGAATTCTCCTAAAAAGTTATTGATACGGATATGTGCGAATATTAAAATAATTAGTGAGAAATCAAACTGATTGAAACCTGAGAATCCGGGCCTGAATTATATTATTACATTTTTTAAATTAATTAAACACTAATAGGAGAAAACTTTTCGGTATTCCGCCCATTCTTACTGTTCATTCTTTCGAATAACATTGTGTACGATTTGTAAGTCTAGTTTGTTTGTATGCTCTGCATTGGGGTGTTGAAGGGCGACTGTAACTGGAAGGGGAAAGTGCAATTGTCGCTTTATCGGAGAGCGCTCTCTGGGAACGGATGCGTTTGAGCTGCTTATTTCAGTCATTTGCCACGAGAGAGCGCGCGTTGAAGCTTGTAAGAGCGTTACCATGCCAATGAAAATGCTTCCATTCTTTGCTCGGCAACGCATGCGAATAGCCTTACTATTCTCAGTCGCGAATCTTTTTGACAAATTTAAACTTTTGGCAGACGGGTAGCGTTTTCCAAGTTGTCAAACCGAGGGGAGGGGAGTCTCCCCGATCGTACTGGCATTTACGTTGGTGAGACATTCAGCGGCCGTTGTAGATATTAACGACATGATGTTGTTAATATCAAATAATAGACGCGAGTGAAATATTAAAACTAAGGGGAAAGCTGACGTTTATAATAAAGTCTGTTATTAGTGATTACGGCGGCGTGTTGGTCTTTTGTAATACCCCCTTTTGAGAAGAAAAATAATAAGAAAATGTTCTTGGAGTAGGAAACCATCAACTACAACCTACTTGTTTCAGTTGTTCTTAGCGGAAACCGCCTGTTAATAGTGGCTTTTCTCGCACGTGGTTGTCTAGCATCCATATTAGTATATTATTACAAAACGTATTCAATAAGAATTGGATAATTAAATCACTGTTGGGTTTCGATTATTCAAAGAAGGATAGTCACAATTAAACTATTATTACTTACTACTATTACACTCGAAATTACGCACCCTATAGACCCAGTAGTAAGATCGTGTAGTATATTCGGATACACGGAGCAACGGTCATTCCCTCATCAAGTATATCAAAAAAGTTATTCTATAACGCAATACATGCATTTGTTAGAACTTTGCTGTCACAATGTCAAATGTCTTGTATGTAATTTTAGTTTCAGAATTCAGCCAGTAGGCGTAGTATGCGAATATGCAGAATAACCGAATCGAAGGTTGGATGCTTTCGAAAAAATCGAAACTGTTTAAATGTTTTCCTGATATTTTGTTTATCAAACGAAACTATTGATACTCCCACGTAACCATAGGCCATTAACATGCAATTTCTGCGCGTATACGAAATTAGTAAACGGTAGATTCTAATCGAGACAAACAACTGCAACCCGACAGCCTTAGCTGGATATCCACGGGGTATCCTGAAGGATATTATGTGTATTTGCTGTTGTTTTTTTCCTTCGGTGAAATTCAAAACTGTTTCATGTTTTTATATTCTTTCCGAGATCTAGATATCTAAAGAAACCATTGATACCGTTCACAGGCGTCATAGAGGTCTTAATTTTTTCTCAGTTTCTGCAGTCGTACAAAATTGTTGGTATTGAATGACTTACATACTCGTACATCCCCACTCCTCTCAACCTAACACGAAACGTGAAGCTCTTCGCCCTCCCTGCTCCGCCACGTCCCGCAACGCTTTGCACACACTGTTCGTACCCGCAATACGTACGTATTACAGGAATTGCATTAATTTTTTTTAAAAAAAAACTATATAAGCACTCGGATGATGGGTTTTGAAAGCTCCTTTCGTGGTGCGTACGTACATTGTAATAAGAACCTAATATTTCAAAAAAAAAATCTCTTTTATAAGATTACACAAATGTTACACTCTGATAGAAATATCTCATTTCTAAGTGTTGATCCTGACATTTAGGCATGTGACCGAAAATAAATACTTAAATTACGAAAATAAAAACTTATTTTACTATCTACAATATTTTTTTTACTTTCTCGTATGCCTACGTATATGCGGAGAAATATATGAAGTGTTATGTAATGCTGCGGAAAATCTATTTTGAGATTTCAACGGAAATACACGTTTTGGGGTCCCCTGATACCGAAAAGTTTTTTCTTTTTTTTTCAAAACGTGTCTGGTAACTGTGAATAACGTCTAAAGTATGCATAGGATTTTTTTCGAAATTGAAGAAACCCCTGTCCATCTGGCTCGAGTCAAAACTTTGAGATTTTGAAAAACATTCTTGAACATTTGGGGTACTTTACATAAAGCCCTCCGGACATGTTCAAAAGTTTTTAAAAAACGACTCCAATTTTGTTTTTAAACATTTGATAGGGATTGTGCTAAATTCACTCGA